AAAGACATAATGGCAAACATCGCACCACATAATGTCACACATGACAATATTAAATACCACAAATGCTCATATATAATGTCATAAATGCCCATATATAATGCCACAATGTGAATTCATAATGTTACACAAAAACATAATGTCAAATCTGGCCCTTTGCCTTGCCGAGAGTCATTGAGCATCACCCCTTCCACGGCCACCATTGCACGGATAAATGACCAATCGTGGACTCCCATTTTCCCAACACCAAATCGCCATCCCAAAGGATGCAAACAAAATTCAAGGAAAACTAAGTTTAATTAAAGATCGAGAGAGAATACTCTCACTTTTGAAATGAAAGCTTTGCAGGGAGGGAAATGCGAGTGGGCGGCGCGGCAGATCTTAGATGGGTGCGTTGACGAATCTTTGAAGGGGTTCATGGGAGAAATGATGGCACTGTGGGTGGGCTTTGGTGACGGCGGTAGTGGTGGTGACTGTCACAGATGGTGTTGGGTGGCGGAAACGTCAACTGTAATGGATTGAAGGGGCGGGCATCCAAGAGATTGGAATCGACCGAGAAGGGATTGAAGGGAGTAGGCGACGTAGAGGTTGAAATCAATCTAGAAGAGGCGAAGAGCTTGTTCGCGAATGATCGGCGTGGGGAATATTTTTATATTCTAATAATTTTGGTCCTATTTGGAGAAATTTATGTTTGAGCTCCTATTTTTGAGATATGACACATCTTTTACTCCTATTTAGGAGGTTTTGTTAAGAATATTTTCAGAGGATGAATTACTTTTGAAAAATGCTAGGGGTATACCAAAGGTGTACCCTATTTGTCCCCCATCCCCTCCTCCATTACATAAATGGGCAAAAAACTTTAAAAAAATAAATAATTAAAAATGAAATAAAAATATATGGTGGAGAAGGGAGTGGGGGACAAAGGTGTACTCCTCGCATTGCTCATTACTTTTTATTAATCTTGGATACTCTCTCCGTCCAAAAAAAATTTTTCTGCTTGACTTAGTACGAAGATTAAAGAAAGTTAAAAAGTTTAAAGACTTTATATTTTTCTTTGATATGATGGAATAAAGTAAATATTATAGATAAAAAGTGAAGGTACAGTGAGACATTCTTTAAAAAAATTTGACAAAAATTGAAAACGTGAAAGAAATTTTTGGAGAACCAAAAAAGGAAAGTGAGAGAAATTATTTCGGTTTACGAAATTTAACTAAAATTATATTTTTATTTATGATTAGAAGTACGGAGTATAAGATTAACAAATAAATTTATATTGTTTAAAAAACTTAATTTTTTTAACAAAAAAAAACAGTTGGAATATAAAAAGGAGAATTTACTTAAATAGCACTAAAACATAATGACTTTTCCTAAAGAACATCATATGTATTTTATTTTCCAATCTAGCACTTTTAGCCATTATCCATTAGTCATTATTCAAGTAAATGTTCGACATTACTAGACATTGTTCCTCCTTCTGAATATTATTAAGTGCTATTTAGTGAAAAAATAATTTAAATGATATTTAGAAAAATAACTTAAGTTTTAGTGCTCGCTATTTAGTTCAAATATTTCATATAAAAACTATATCTGGATCACGAGCTTAAGTTTTTGGTTAAGTTGGCTCTTTGATATAGTATCATAGCCTTCTTGACTGAGTGGTTCATGGGAAACTCTGCGTCGTCCAATTTTTAAAAAAGAGGTCACGTGTTAGAATATAAAAAAATCATTCCTAGGCGATAATCTCAAGTTTAAGCTTTTTGTTTAGTTGGTTCTTGGACAAAAAGAATGCCATAATAAATATATTATTACTCATCTATCCGAAAAAAAGACTTTCAGTTTGACATCACTCAAAATTTAAAGAAATTAAAATGTACGATTGAAAGTGATACAGAATAAAGAAAAAGATTGTGAGCCACTCAAATTTTTCCATAGAAAGAAATAAAAAAAAATTTGGGACGTTGCGAAAAATAAAATAAAAGTCTTTTTTGAGACAGAAAATATTATGAAACAAATAATGGAAAGGTTTTTGAGGCTTTATATTTCCGACATGTACCAACCCTCCAACAAGTCTCGCTATCATTCCAATAACTGAAAGGTTTCGTTTGGTACACAGAATTCAGGACATGGAATTAGAATTAAAGGCTTTAATTCCAATTCTGTTCTTTGTTAGCTCAAAAATATATGGAATTCGAATTGAATTCCAATTCCAAATCTTTCAGTTCCACATTTTGAATTCCATAGCACATGCAAAGACTTGGAAATCCAGAATTTGAATTGTACGGGTCAAAATCAAATCACGCATATCCTCTTTGTTTTATAACAAAGAAACTCATCTAATAAAATAAAAACTAAACCTTTAAAATTTCAAATTTAAAAATAAAAACTAAAATTTAAAAGAAGACTTAAATGGGGATGTTAGAGTCTTTAGCCCTAAGGAGATCAGTGCCATGATTCTTTTAAGAGCAATGCTAGGGGTACACCTCCCAAATGTACACCACCCTTTTTTCCACCACACATTTTTATTTTATTTTTATTTACTTATTTTTTTAAAATTTTTTTGTCTTTTTTAGTGGACAAGAAGAGGGTGGGGGACATATGTACCCCTAGCATTTTTCTTCTTATAAAGATTAAGGATGCTTTTGTTACTGTTCCTGCTTACTTAAATCGGCGTGTAGCTCTAATGCATTAAGAACACAAAGGCTTAGTATAAATTTAAAAGTTTCGCGGCCAACTCTCAAGGACGCTTCTGATTCCGCTGTAGCACAGTCATTATGATTTGAAAAGGCTATCATCTCCGGGTTCGAAGTCCGGCAGCGGAAATCTTTTTTGTTCTCGCCCTCACCCACACACATATACTGCAAAATGACCCTTGGGAACACCTCACTTTCTTTGTTTGTTCTTGAGGAAAACCTTCTGGGTTAGTCTAGTTTACTGATTAATTCAAGCTATATGAAAAATTTGGTAAATAATTTGCTTGATTGAAGCTTTGACCCTTGGTCCCTATTTAATTTATACAAACATGAGTTGCTATACTAAAATTTATCTTTGGCCTAAAATTTATCTTTGAGAGGTAAATATGGTGCTTGAGGTTGAAGCTTTGGCGTTGAAGGATGCTCTCACTTCTTTAAAGACATGCTTTAGTTTCCTTATTATTAATTTTAAAAATTTCCTCACGGGAGATTTTAGTTATTTTGTATATCGCTCTACTAATGAAGCAGCGCATTTGTTAACATGGGTTGCTACTTTCTTTGAGAGTCTGTGACCTTGTGTGTATGGGATGTTCATCTTTGAACTTTATCCTCACATCGATTTAATAAAATTTATATAATTTCTAAAAATATATAAATTAGGGTCCTTTGTGGAAGACTAAATAGAAAAAAAATTGCACGATATTAATCAGAATCTTTTTGCTAGAATTAGAGTAGAGTAAAAGGATAGAGACCACAAAGATCGACTAGATCGAAACACCAAAAATTGGGACTGAATAAATCATTGGGACTAGTCAGTCCATGACCGATAATCTCAATTGGTACTTAGTTTGTAAGGACTTGGACTGGTCTGAGACTAGTGGAGGAGCTGTTAAGGACTTAGACCAATTTGGAATTAGAAGAAGACCGGTCGTCCAAAGATTTGACGAGTCTAAAAGTTGAACATCCAAAGGCTACTTTAAGAGAATTAAAAATACTTTAAGGGGCTGTTTGTTTCAGCCTCTTAATGGTTCAGATGTCTAAATGATTAAGAGATTTGCCTCTGAATGGTTAAGTATTATACATAGTCTGAATGGTTAAGAGCTGTTATCTGATTTGATCAGACATTTGCCTCTGAATAGTTAAGCAATATACTAGCTCTTAATGGTTCAGACCTCTTACTGGTTCAGCACTTAATGATTCAGACCTCTTACTGGTTCAGCACTTACCCATTCAGAAGTTGCTAAACAGCCCCTAAGTATTAGTATAATACTCTCTTCCTTTTCAATTAAAAAGTGATTTTTACACTATTCATCCATCCCCAAATTTTTTTCATTTTCTATTAAAAAGTGATTTTTACACAGAATTTTACACTATTCATCTATCACATCTTTTTATCCATCACATCTAAGAAGGTTTTGAAAAAGTCAACACTAAATTTACTCCACTTAAATTTCTTAAATATTACTACCTCGTCCCAAATTATAATACATGTTCACTATTCACATGGTCAAATTGTATTCATTTTCTTTCTCTATTTTCGTTAGCAATTTGATAAAATAAAATACTATTGTCATTACTAGTTTTGTAAATCTTTTGATGTAGTATTTTAATATGTAATTTTTATTTTTTAACTATATATACTATTTGTCATATAAAATGATTTAAAAATAATTTCAGTCAAAAATCGTAAACCGAAATAGGCGTTATAAAATGGAACGGAGGGAGTAATACAAGAAGCGTTTCAAGGGCCAAGTTGTGGGAGCAATTGACGAAGATGGGGGGGTTCGGGCCGGGCTGAGTTGAGGAGAGTTTACGAAGGGGGTTAAGGAGATAGAATCTATACATTTTTTCGAATGGAGTATTGTAGGGACCTCGAGTCATCGCATGATATTGATTTCCAATGTCATAGGAACCATTTTAAGAACAGAGAGAGTATTCGACAAGTTTTTAAATTTATATAACTTCTCAAATCAAAGTACATTGACCCAAAGTTGGGCCCATACTGAACCTAAACTGGGCCGAATCTTACCCAAAATGTGTTGGGCCAAAGATCCCGCCACTCGAAGTACATCGAACCCAACCAAACCTAAAGTTGGCCCAAACTGAACCTAACCCGGCTCGAAATGTGTTGACCCAAATGTTGACCCGGGTGACCTATTTCCTATTAGCAAGTGGATGTAACAAAACCAAAAAAACAAAAGAAATCCAAAGAAAACATCTTTGGCTGGAAAAGAAGAGATCTTGATCATGATGATGATGCTTGAGATATAGAATCTCATAAAGAAACAAATTTCCAAAACCTGTGGCTTTAAGCCACACATCAAGAAGAGCCTTCCAAACATAACAATAATACTAAAAAACATGAAAATGTTGGAATGGGGGATTAAAAAGAAAGTGGAACAGAAAAGGCCAAAACACATGTGGAATTGGCCAGTGGTCAGACATTTCCCACTGCTCCTCCACACACACACAAACTTCTAATTCAAGTACTACCATATAAATTACACAAGCAAGCTATTGAGCAGTAACATGTTTACTGAGAGCAAGAGACCAGTAAAGGCAGTGCCCCCACCACCATTTCCCTTGATCACTCTTTTGGCCTTTGCTTCAGAGACACAAAGCCACCCCCACTGTACCTTCCTCACTTTTCTGCACAATAAAAGACCAAGTTTATAGTCAAAAACACATTTGTACTGCAGAATTGAACCATTTTTTATAATGGGTTTATCACTTTCTTTCTGCACAAATATGGAAACTTGGGTTGCTGTTAATTATTACCCTGAATTATTTTAAAGTGTATGTTTTTGAAGTGAAAAAAAACAATGCTTTTGAAGTGCAGAGAGTGTAAAATGGGATTTTCTTGAATGTTTATACTCAAGAACCCTTGCAAGATCTGGACTTATGGAGGAAAAGAGTTGTCACAGAAAAATTGTCATAATTAGATACCAATTTGAGCAATTGAAGAGAAATGTGTGGGCTAAGTTTAGAGCTGATAGGTCGTCATACCATTCTGGGTCATGAAGAAGTCATGAGATGAGTTTGGGACAGAGATGGAGAGGTGGGACCCATGGGTGGAGAATTTATCCCCAGAATCAAGCCAAGAATCTTTGTTTTCTTTGGGCCATTCATCAAAGAAATGGTGCATCACTTTCTTGGGCTGATGATCATCTTTGCTCCCCAGACCATAGTAATCATCTTCTTGTCTCTGATGATGTCTGGAGGCCTCATTAAGCTGCAGGTAGGAGTACCCATCATGAGACACACAATAGTCCCTCTCTTTCAACTGCCCTAAGGGTGATGAAGATGCCATTGTAAGTGGAGCAAGCTGCCAAGTTGTGTCTTCATCTACTGAGTTTGAACCAGTTGTGCTTCTTATGCTCCCAGAAGCCTCTGAGAAAAACACATGCTCGTCCACCACTTCCTCCTTAATGACATGACCATATCCATTTCTGCATTACCAATGTGTACAGTTTATCATCAATTAAAAAGAAGAAAAAAAATTGAATCTTTGGAAGAAAAAAGCTTTAAAAACAGTCCAAGAATTATTACAGACCTAGAATAAGGACCAGAGTCTAGGAGGAAATTGGTGGTGTGGTCCCCATGAGAAGACAAAGCAATGGCATGAGGCCTTGAAGAGGATGAATGGGTATAGAGCAAAGGGGTACATGTGTTTTTATTCATTGAAGAAGAAGAAGATGATGATGATGAATAGGGAATGGCATTAGGGGGTGTTTGGGATGGGGTTGATGTCACTGTACTCAGAACTTCCACAGGCTTTCTTGAACGGTTTCTGCCTCTGTGCATGTGCCTCTCACAGTACTTGGAATCTGGGTAGGCCTCCTTTGAGCACCTCCATTTCTTCCCATCTGTTCTTCTGCACCTCCCTGGCTCTGGGTCAATCTTCTTTCCAAACCCCATCTGGAAACAGCTCCACCCCACTGCACTCACATCAACAAAATCCACTATTTTGCCTTTAAAACCATATGTTGAATAGTAGTATAATGCATCATAAGCATAGCATAGTCAAATCAACTGTTGTTGGACTGTTATGCTGTTAAATTTCAGCATTAGATTCCAAAACGAAATGTGCCCTTCTCATCAAAATCCAATCTTTTTCACATTTTCCAAACACAACAATCAAACCATGCATAAAAATCACAAGTCACAACCTCACAAACATTTCTGCATAAAACACATTCAAGATTACCACCATTCTTGTTTTTGTCAAAAATGCTTTTTTATGTGTAATGTGTATAAAGACTCAACCTTTTTTGTGTGTGTGACACTAAACAGGGAGTAACAGATATGGGAAAAGAGAGAATACATTGAGGAGGTTGGTGGAGGAGGAGCTTGGAGGAGAGAGAAGAATCTAGACTTCTTCTGATGGAGTAGAGAAGGTCAGGAGGGACAGGCATGCCAGATACCATGTATTTGTATATAAGAGCTTGGTGTTCAAGTTCTTGCCACTGGTTTGCAGTGAATGGTAATCTGCCTCTTCCACTGCTCATCATGAAGACAACAAACTTAGCAAAGAAGATGAAGAAAAGGAGAGAGAGAGAGAGAGAGAGAGAGAGAGAGAGAGCAAATGAAGGAGAAGGATGTAGAGAAATGGTAAGAGATTCAGAGGGGAATTTGAGTCTTGAGGCCTTCTTGTATTGGGCGGAGGGTAGGTAAATTTATTTCAGGGACCAGGGAGTCGCAGAATCAACTGCACCATGTACAGGGATAAAAACTTGATTGTTTGAACATCACAGTAATTTTATATTGGCCCAATGACCAAAAACTTGATTCATTTACTCCGTATTAGGCAACCACATAGATAATTAATGGGATATGCTAGGGGTACACCAAATGTGTACCTCAAATGTACACCACTCCCCTTTCTATCATTTATTTTATTTTGTTTTTATTTTTTATTTTTTATTGAATTTTTTTGTCATTTTTTGTGGTGATGGAGGGGGTGGGGGATGTTTGGGGTACACCGGTGTACCCCTAGCATTTTCCATAATTAATTAATGGTCCAATGGCCAAAAAAGGATGTGCTGTTTCAAACCCTAGTTTTTGTTAGGCATTGTGTTATGGAGCGTGAAGAGAGACTTGGTTACCTTCCATCACGCCACTCACCCATTACATATGCATCCTCAAGGGGCGTTGTCCCAATTAACCTGACCACCATCATATAGTGATGACTTTTTTCTTTCCAATTTTTTTTTATATATTTCAAACAATCAAAATTTAACAATATTTATACCTCATCAAAATCACTTCACACTCACCATAAGACTATCTGGTATGGGCGCGATCTGGAGGTGGTGATCGACCGTCGTGTCCCCTCCGCCGTGCCACACCGGGCGTGACACTGCTAGAGGTGGCGATAATTAACAGGTTAAGGGAGGTTTTTTTTTAAAATTCTAACCAATCAAAGTTTAACACATCTCCACACTCATAACCCCCAATCACCCCACCATATCACATTTTTATTCAATCATCACCCATCACCCCTTCCTCATACCACATAGCCTAATACATATTTTGATCACTCTACATCATACCCAATAACACATGGTCTTAGGGGCACCTTTATCAGGCCATTCGTCGCAAAATAAGTTGAAAAAAGTATTGAATAACACCTTAGTTCCCATGACATTAGGACCAATGTCATGGGGGTCGTACGAGGTTCCGTTTAAAAAATGGGTTTATCATACAATTCAAATAGTTTAATGTAATCTTGGTATGGATTAGCTCACCAACCATGATTCCCCAATAGACTTTTACGCGAGGATGGATGATTGTACCATTGAGAACTAACGACCGTGACAATATTACAGTTGTAACACCCCGACTCCCTGCCCTGCCCGAAAGTGTTTGCTCATAAGATTGTAGATTTTTTCCACAAATCAACACAAGTCCTTCTCGTACATTTTTTCCTTACTCATGCGCGCCCGGGGAACTTCTCAGGGGGTCATCCATCCTAGAATTACTCCAAGTCTAGCACACTTAACTTCGAAGTTTTTAAGTGATGAGCTTTCGAAAAGAAGATGTGGTATAAGTAATACAATTAATTCTTTTGAGCTCTTTTCATTCCATGTTAAAATGGGGTATTACATTCATCCCCCATAGGAATGCAACGTCCTTGTTGCACCCTTTTTCAATCCTCTAAGTTATCCCCGATAGGTGACTTAAGCTCGTTGGTCTGTCCCAGTTGCAGGGTTGCTTTGATACCATTTGTAACACCTCAACCCCTGCCCTAGCCAAAAGTGTCTGCTTATTGGATTTTACACTCGCCCCACAAACCAACATATGTCTTTCTCGCATACTTTTTTCTTACTCGTGCGCACTTAAGAAACTTTCCAATGGGTCACCCATCTTAGAATTGATTCAAATATGAGACACTTAACTTTAGTGTTTTTAGGTAATGAGCTCTCGAAAAGAAGATGCATCTTGTTGGTATGAGTAGTATTATCAATCTTTTTGAGCTCTTCCTATTCCATGTTAACATAGAGTATTACAACTGTTTTTATGGAGTATTTCTCCCAAACTTCGAAATTTATATTGCTCATGCATGCTAAAGCGCCTGATCGAGAAGAAGTGTGATGTGTTTATTTGTAATGTCCATTATGTCTAAAAGGAGGCACTTGAACGGAAGAAAATTCTTATTATGTGCAACTTTCTGGATGCCTTTCGTAACGAGTTACTTGAGTTGCCACCAACTAAAAGAATCAAAGTGATATTAATAACCCCCTACTATATGGCACCAGTTGAAATGAAGGAGCTTAAAGTCCAACCACAAGAGTTTTTGGACAAGGGATTCATTTAGCCCAATGCATCTACATGGGGATCAGAGTGCCCATTCTTTTTGTTCAAAAAATGATTGATCGATATCACTCTATAACAACTATGGGTAAAGAGCCAGTATCCCTAACCCTATATTAATGATATATTTGACCAACTTAAAAGAGCTATAATGTTTTCCAAAATTTCCCTTTGATTTTTAATCCATCAGACACTTGTGGAGTATGAAGACATACCAAAGATGACATTCCGCACATGATATAGAGATAATAAGTTCACAATCATATATGTTGTTTGGTTTAACTAACTCCCCTCACTCTATTTTCATGGATCAAATGAGCAACATCTTATACTTTTTCTTGATCAATTCGTGATGATATTCATTGATAATATCTTAGTGCATTCGAGGAGATGTGAGTAGCATGCTCGACATTTCAGATGTGTACTCAGTGCACGAGGGAAGCATAAATTGTATGCTAAGCTAGCAAAATACGGGTTCAGGCTTAATTAAGTCACCTTCTTAGGCCACATAATCTATAAGGAAGGAGTCACACCCGTCCAAAAATATAGTGATCATGGGGTGGAAGCTTTTGAGAAATGTACTTGAGGCATGGAGTTTCCTTGGTCTTGCTAGATACAACCAATGGATTTTAAAAGGATTATCTACCATTGCATAGACCTAATCAATATATGTACTGGGCTAAGTTCAAGTCAGGCCAAAATACTATATTACGAAAACTTTCTAGGCATAATCCCGGTCGACATTATGGGCTTAAAAATTGAAGTCCTAGCCCGGCCCGCATTGGTGCCCGCGAGATTTGGGCCGGCTTGGCCCAAATTTAAATATTTCGTCTGTAATTAAAAATAAAATTCAATTTTAAAAAAATAGTCTTATTATATTATATACTTGATAGAATACTTATGATAGATACATTACTAATTAATGAATGACTAATGTATGCAATATGTTTTATGTGATATTTGCCATTACTCCCTATTATTTATTTCAAGTTTTTATTAAAGTGCAATATAGAATAAAAAAAAAGACAAATTTATCTAAATAACATTAAAACATAGCGACTTTTCCAATATAGTATCATATGTTTTTATTTTATAATATAGTGCCATTGTTTAATGTCCACAGGTTTTTATTCAAGTAAATATATATCCACTGGTTAGTGTTCAAATTAAATGTCCATCATCAATGGATATTATTCCCGCTACAAGACATTATTCAAGTACTCCCTCCGTCCCCCAGTTTTTGTCCACTTTCATTTTTGCATATCATCCAATGCACTTCTTTAATCCATTTTATCTTGTTATTTGTCTATTAAAAAATTATAGAAATTATATATTAATAATCTATATATTAAGACAAATCAAAAAAGATCACACATAACTATATTTAGGGTTACACATTGAGAGAATTTGATAAGTCAAAGTGCTTAGATGAACAGTTCCAAAAGTTAAAAATGGACAAAAACTGGGGGACGGAGGGAGTACTATTTAAAGAAGAAAAAATTTTAAGTACTATATTGAGAAATGACATATATTTTAGTACTATTTAGTACAAATTTTACTAATAAAAATATGTTCGTTTGATTAAATATTCTTATATTTCTTGTTTTCAATTATTAGTAGTGTTGTTGTTCATGTTATTATGATGATGATTATTATTACTATTATTATTGTTATTATTATTATTGTTGTTGTTGTTGTTGTTGTTGTTATTAGTATTGATTTATTCACTATTACTATTATTATTATTACTAAGGGGTTGAACAAGGTTTATATTCACTTAAAACTAATTATTGTTATACACACTCCGTCCCTAAATATATCTGACATTTCTATTACTGAAGTAAAATATCAAGTTTTTTTTTCAATTCATTTTATTTATATATTGGTATAAAAATACAAAATAAAATTTACATATTAAAAATCTACATGAAAAGTTATTCGAAATAAGAGGTGTCAAGAATATTTTATTTTATCAAATATCCAATGAAAACGTAGAAATAAACAAAAGTTCTCGCGACTGCTGAAAAAGCAAATGTGAGATATATTTAGGGACGGAGGGAGTATATAGTTAAAAAAATTATATTTTTTTCATGAAACAAATTGTATAATTCAAAAGTGAATAAGAAAAGTTCTATAAAATACTTGCAAGATACAACAAGAATATTTTTTTTAAATGAACAATGAAATTATATACGGAGTAAATAAACAACAATGATGTGGGTATATATATTGTTTTGTTTGAGAAATTGACGATTCTTACTTTCTGACCACCATTATAAATCTCTTATTTAAGCCTCCATTGCCCGCCCGCACTACCCCAGCCCCTTGCCTTGCTTCCTCTTCTGCCACTATGTGTATACCACTCCCTTCGTCCCTAAATCATTTACTTTTTACACAAATCGAAATAAAATTTTAACTTTTTTCAATTCATTTTATTTTAAGATTAGTATATTAATAAAAAACTTACATATTTAAAAAGTACATTAAATTTTTATAAAATAAAAGGTGATAAGAATATTTTATTTAATCAAATAGTTAATAAAACACATAAATAAATAAAAATTCCCATGATTTTTTAATAATAAAGTATGTAAGTTATTTAGGGACGAATGTAGTACTATATTCCAAGGGAGGGAGGGGTGTAGGGGGCTTGGATCAG